GCCTGTCGTCTAGACTACGCCGCCAGTCTTGTTGCTGAGTCTGAGTCTGTCTGTCCTCCGTCCGTCGGGGGTGAGTGTGCTCTTGGCACGGACGTCCTTGAGGACAGGCAGGAGGACTTTGACTCTCTTGCGGCTGCTGTACCTCATCTCGTGGCCTGGTTGCTTGCCCCTGAGGGAGACCCGGATGCACTAGACATCCCCACTCCGCGCTCTTACGCAGAGGCGATCTCGGGTCCCTACTCCTCTCAGTGGCAGACAGCCATGGATGCAGAGATGGCATCCTGGAAATCCACAGGCACCTACGTCAACGAGGTTCCCCCTCCTGGGGCGAACATCGTCGATGGCATGTGGATTTTCAGGGTGAAGCGGCCGCCAGGTTCTCCACCTGTCTTCAAGGCTCGTTACGTTGCTAGAGGCTTCAGTCAGCGTCAGGGGGTTGACTTCTTTCAGACCTTCTCCCCCACCCCGAAGATGACCACTCTTCGGGTGTTGCTGCACGTTGCTGCTCAGCGTGACTACGAGCTGCACTCTCTTGACTTCAGCACAGCTTTCTTGCAGGGCAGCCTCCACGAGGAGATCTGGCTGCGCCGCCCTCCTGGCTTCACTGGGTCGTTCCCTCCTGGTACCCAGTGGAGCCTCCGGCGGCCAGTCTACGGTCTCCGCCAGGCGCCACGCGAGTGGCCCTTGGGTTTGCTCCTTCCACTGCTGACCCGTCACTGTTTCTGCGCACAGACACGTCGCTGCCGCCGTTCTACATCCTCGTGTACGTCGACGACTTGGTCTTTGCTACTGCTGACACTGAGGCACTCGCTCGTCTGAAGTCGGAGCTGCAGAAGAGACACACCTGCACTGACCTGGGTGAGCTGCGTAGCTACCTTGGCTTGCAGATCACCCGGGACAGAGCACGCCGCACCATTACCCTGACTCAGTCACACATGGTGCAGCAGGTCCTTCAGCGCTTCGGCTTCCAGTTCTCCTCACCACAGGCCACACCTCTGGCTACCAGTCACTCGCTCTCAGCTCCACCTTCGGACGAGTCCGTAGAGCCGAGTGGCCCGTACCCAGAGCTTGTAGGCTGCCTCATGTACCTGATGACTTGCACGCGACCTGACCTCGCGTACCCTCTTAGCATCCTTGCTCGTTACGTTGCGCCTGGGAGACACAGGCGAGAGCACTGGGAGGCTGCTAAGAGGGTGCTGCGTTACTTGTGCAGTACATCAGGCATGGGGCTCGTGCTTGGAGGACGCGACAGAGTTGTCCTCACTGGTCACTCGGACGCTTCTTGGGTGGACGACCTGGCTACGCAGCGGTCGTCGCAGGGTTACACCTTCAGCCTTGGCTCTGGTTCTGTCTCGTGGCGGTCCACCCGCTCTTCTTCTGTTCTCAGCTCTAGTTGTGAGGCTGAGATCTACGCCACGGCCATGGCTGCACAGGAGTTACGCTGGCTCACCTACCTGTTGACTGACTTGGGAGAGCGGCCTAGTTCTCCTCCAGTTCTGTACGGCGACAACAAGGCGGCCCTTGCCTTGTGTCAGGAGCACAGACTGGAGCACAGGACGAAGCACATTGCTCTTCGCTACTTTCTTGCTCGAGAGCTGCAGCAGCGCGGTCAGCTTCGGCTTGTGTACGTGGACTCGAAGGCCAACACTGCTGATATCTTCACCAAGGCGCTCCCGCCTAGTGATCATCAGCGGCACTGTACTTCTTTAGGCCTTGTGTCCACATTCCCTCATTTGCTTACTGCTTGACTTTCTTTGTACTGTACTTTATATATATCTTGTTGCTTGTCTTGTTCTATATCTAGCACTGCATGTGAACTGGCCTTGTGGCCTTTGCTTGTGCTCGGAGTGTGGTGACGTTGTGATCCACCCTGGGCTTGCGTTGCTTTGCTGGACTGGTCTTGTGACCCTTTGTTCTCCCCCACTTTGCCTATGGGGGTGTGTTAAATTGTAATGTGTTATATGTTGGTAGGCTGTAGTGGGGTAGCCAATATGAGGTACAATCCTAACTAGGGTTTGCTACTTGTACCCAACTGTTTCATTCAATGCACCATTCTTGCCTAGTCCTGTTGACAGTGTCATGAGCATCCACGTTACCGGCATAATGCTGGAGAATAGATTGGAAATTTTTGGTTGGTTGTCGCTTCTATGCGCACATTTAACCTTACAACTAATGTGATGTGAACCTTTCGGTCTACGCAAAAGGTTGATCTTGTTGAGAGGTGGGTTGCTTATTTTGCTCTCACACATCAGCGTTATTGATGATTTCCCATGTGGTAATGACTCACGTTTCATAAAATTCCCCATATTGTATAGCATGTTTTTCCGTTGGTTCCCCTTTTCAAGGTTCCTACAAAAATTTAACCTTGCACACATAGTGCTACCGTATTTATAGAGGCGCTAACTTCGATACTGTCTGTTTGCTGTTAGGTGACAACAAATGCCCTATCAATGGCACCGGATTGTAACTGGTTACGCAAACTGTATGCATTGTACACGTTCGAAATGTGTCAAAGTTTGGTATGTGCTTCACAACTCCTTTGCAGCAATATGACACTAGTCTTAAGCCTTGATACTCAAGGCAACATTGTTTGCATACCATGCAACAAGTGCATCAGCATGTTAACGTGAGCAATATGTCATCGACCGTAGTCTACCGTGAATACGAGCTATGCTACGAAAGGCCCACCCTACATTGAAGTCACGTGATGTTATTGCACAACGTTGACATTATGCTCAATTCAACAACTATGGTTAGCTGCCGCAACTTTCCGATTTTATCGTTTACGTGCTCGGCCGTCAGATAGACGATTAACATCCTCGAACGACTGCCAAAGGGTTTTATTGAGGTTCTCTTACGAGATGGATGGCGCTTCATCGCTACTAACGATTTCTTGTTACAATCACTGTGCAACTTATTGCCCACTCGACTTTTGCGCACATCTGGTACCTCTTTCATCGTTCTCCTTTGAGAAACTCTCCTAGGATGATAGGTGAGATATATAGTTCCTCCATTCCATTCCGTCCTTCTCTACCAGGGTAAAACCCTAAGTTCTAGGGCCCTGCTCCCGACGCACCTAATGTCTCTTATCGCCTATGACGACTGCTCTGCGGACTCCTTGGAAAGTCTTGTCTTAATCAGCACCTTTCCACGCAGTTTATCTCATTTCCTGGCAATGCGAGTGTCACCAGTATCATCACGGCAACCAGCTTTGGGCCGCAGGAGCATGAGCAAGGTGTCCCTGTGGCACACATGTGACTCGTGGCCGTGTGGATGACATGACATGCCACCCTTGTCACCGCGTCGCTGCTGCTAGCCATGCTCATCTTTCTCGAGGGATTACATGGAATGGGGTTGTGGTAGTGGCTGTTTGGGAAACTGGGTGTAGTTTATGCATGGCAATTTGGATACAAGCAGCAGTTAGATTAGGTTGTGACAATGTGACTGGAAGCATGTGTGGTCTATGGCTGCCATGCCATGGATGTACGTACCGAATGGGCTGTTGCTTGAACACTGGCATTGTAATCAAATTTAGGGCGTGTGAGGTCGGATTTGAAATTTAAAAAAAAAAAAAAAAAAAAAAGAGCGAACTTCGTGTGGTTACCCGTTTCGCCAATATCGCATAGAGCTATGAGCGAAACTTCGTCAACTTTGGGTTTGGCAACATGCGAACTGCAAACTTGAACAAGACTCGAGTTTTAGTTGTGAACGTGCTTCGGCATGTTCACATTCACGTGTGTGATTTCCCGCACGTTCGAGCATCTGGCGAAATGTGCGAGCGACTCACGAGTAGCAACAGTACCACAACGAACTCACCACAGCCTTCGTGTACTGAATGGAGGCCACGTGGCGAGAATCGTGGCACGTTCACCCCATACCCCAACGACTCCAAAGCCGTCTTGACGGACCACGCCAGGATAGTCATGTTTGGGGAATGACGAGAGCTCCAGGTGGGCAGCCTCCGATATTTGTACCCCCGAATTGAAGGTGAGCTAGAGGTCTATGCTATCCGAAACCGAAGCGCAAGTCGACCGCGTGGCGCACTGTCAAGAGAACCGGGTAACCTACTTTGTAGAAATGCGGTTCGGTGCGTTTTTACAAGTTCGAATACGCGCACTCGACCTTGTATATGTGTGTGCTTTTCTGCAGTGTTGTGGTCCAGATGTGCGAACCCCGATACAATGAAAGTCGAGTTTGGTTCGACATATGTTCATGTAGCACAACTCGCCCTTACTTATGGACTCGCGAGCGCGAGTCAAATCAGGGTTACCAGTTTGAGCGACTCGCGTGCGTCGCGAGCGTGAGCAGAAATGGACACCCTAGAGGTGAGTTGAGAGGCACGTTCGCCACCCCTTTTCGCCTGGCCAGTGGGCCCTGGGGTCTCTTGCAGAACGATCTCTCTCCACCTGCCCCGCCCCCGCCCGCCACCCACCCGCGCGGATCACACCGCTCCCTGGACCCACTGGGACACATCTCAGCAGCGCACCCCAATGCTGACACGCACACTGCACACGAAACCAATTCTTCTGAGTCCTCGAGATCGTCGCGCCTTGACGCCACGTGCGCACTTCCGCCTGCCGTACCGCACGGCGCGTCGCCGGCGTGGCGGCCACCGCAATCCATCCTCGCGGTTAGCGGCGGAGTACTAGTGTGATATCCCACAACTTTGCTTGTGCGCTCCTTAACGCGAGTCTTTTATTAACCAGGCGACCCACGGCGCGCTCTCCTGCGCGTCGCATTGCTGACCTCGCCAGACTCACATTCCTCGTGCCTGGCGGCAGTGCTGCGATCGTGCGCGTGGGCAATGTGAGCGCCTTGTGTGGCGGCACACGTGGCGGTTCTGGTAGAGCGGCGACGGCCGTGAGCCCGCACGCGCAGAGACGGCTGAGACGCATCAATACTACCGCCCATACAGCCGCATTGTGGGGGGGGTGCGCGAGGAGAGACGGCCGGGGGAAAGACGGCGGCGACGAGAATAGGGAGGAGGGAGGGAGCGGGAAATGGAGGGGGACAGCGCGGGGAATGGCGACCACGCGGAGTCAAGCAGGGCAGAAGCGGAAGCCGTGCAGAGGGGTGCTGGGGAGCCGATAGAGGCGGCAGGGGCAGGCGAGGGGGAACGGGGGAGTGGCGGCGTGATGGAGGGCGAAGGGGGCGTGGGGGAACGCGATCGCGCGGCCGCTACTGAGGCGCGGAATGACGAGCGGGGAGCGCCCGGGCGGCGCAGCAAGGAAGGCACCAGCGGGCGGCGCATAGGCGGGCGAGACGCGAGCGGGCGAGGAGGGGGCGAGAAATTGGCGGGCGAGGGATTGAAGGCTAGGGGCGAGGGGCGGCGCAGGAGCGAGGGCGCGGCGGAGCCGAACGGGGAGCCGAAGGAGAGGGGCGCGGGGCCGCGGAAAGGCGAGCACGCGGTTAGGGGGAGCGCAGGGAATGCCACGTCGTCCCCCCGCTCGCACCGCAGCAGCGGGGCGGCGAGCGCAACTGCGCGGACCCCTGGCAGCAGCATAATTTCTCCGCGCAACGCTGCCTCTTCCGTCACTGCTGCCGCGCGGGCAGACGGCGCAGGGGCGGCAGCAGAGAGCGCAGGAGGGGGAACAGACAGCGCAGGGGCGAAAACAGAGAGCGCAGGGACGCCAGGAGAGAGCACAGGGGCGGCAGCAGAGGGCGCAGGGGCGGCAAGGGAGGTGGCAGCAGGGCCCGCAGCGTCGGCGGAGAGGAATGACAACGGGGGAGGCGCAGAGGGTGGCGCGGACGGTGAAGGCGCTGGTGAGGGGGGGAGTGTGGCAGGGGGAGGCCGGGGACCGGCGCAGGGAATAGGGGGTGCGGGGGGGAGCGAGCAGACGACGCAAAGGGAGGTGGCGGACGAGGCTGTGCGGAACCACGATGGGGGCAGCAACGAGGGGGGAAGCAAGCGTGGGGGAGAACAGGGTGCGAGTGAGGGGGGAGAGGGATTGCAGGGAGGGTCTAGGCCGGAGCAGGAGCAGGTGCGGGCCGCGCAACACAGCTCCGCCATGGGCGACCAGGAGATCGAGGAGGCGGCAAGGAGCAGGGCGGGAGAGAGGCATGGGGGGGAGGAAGAGGGGAAAGTGGAGGGCGGGAGGGTGGGGGAGGCGGGTGGAGGCAGGGAGGGCGGAGGGGTGGGCGGGCCAGATGGGGGGTGGGTGGTGTTGAGGGCGAGGCGGCATGGCAGGCAGTGAGGGGGCGCTTAGAGTCCCGCTTGGGTGCAGCGGGGGACATCGCCTCGCCCCGACTGCTCGCGCCTCCCCTGCCCGCTGCTGCTTCTGCACCAGCCGTCCCCACAGCAGAGGGGGCAGCGCCCGCTGCTGCAGCGCCAGGCGCATCCGCAGCGGAGGGCGGGGCGGAGCAAGCCGCATGGGGGGCTCAGGGGAAAGAGCAAGTGCCAGAGCACCATGAGGAGGGGGAGGGCGCGGAGGGGGAGGCGGAGGCGGGGCGCGGGCGGGGAGGGGCGAGGGAGGCGGGTGCGGCGGGTGCGGTCGCTGGACGCGGCCTTCTCTCCGCTGCTGGCTGCCGACGCCTCCGCCTGGCAGGCGGGTGGGCGCCCCGCGTGGCACGACGTCATGGGGTGGGGCGCGCGCGTTGTGCGCAGCCTTGCCAAGGGCGGGCTGGGGGGGAAGCGCGCAGGCAGGGGCGGTGGGGGGAAGGGCAAGGGCGGGGCGGAGACAGAGGGGGAGGAGGAGGCGCGGGCGGAGGAGGAGGCGGCGTGGGACGCGTATGTGCTGGCGGGGGACGCGAGTGCGGGGGGCGATGGCGTGGTGGTGCTGCCCCTGGGCCCGGCGGGGATGCCCCGCACACACACCGCCGGGGAGGTGTGGGCAGCGCCGCCAAGTGCAGGCGCTGCTGTGGCGGGGCTGGGGGGGGTGCAGCGCAGCGGGGCGGGCGTGGGGTGGGCGCAAGCGGCGTTCCCCCGCAGCCACTCGGACAGCGTTAGGGAGAGCCGCGCCGGCCGCCGTGCTGCCTCCCTGCTCGCCCCTGCTGGTGCTGGCGGTGACGTGTGGGCCGGCGCAGCAGCAGCGGAGAGGGTGGTGGTGCTGCGGACAAGTGGCGAGGGGGGGGCGGATAGAGAGGTGCAGCAGAGTGGTGTGGGTAGAGCAATGGTGAAGAGTGCCGATGCAGAGGGGGAGAGGGGAGGGGGAGGCGCGGAGGGGGAGGCAGGGCGAGGGGCGAGGGCAGAGGAGAGGGGGGAAGAGGCGGGCAGCAAGAGGGCGGCGAGTGGCGTGGCGGAGCAGAGTGCAGCAGAGGCGAGCAAGGCGCGCGCAGATGCAGCCCTGGCAGCAGCGGTGATGGCGGCCAACGCGAGCACCAAGCCACAGTGGGCCACACAGCACCAGTGGCACACGCAGCCGCACGACCAGCAGCAAGGGCAGGGGGGAGGGGCGGGGACAGAGGCAGAGGCGATGGAGGAGGAGAGGAAGCGGGCGGAGGAGGCAGAGAAGAAGCGTGCGTGGGACGAGGCGGTGCGGGCCGTGCGGCTGCGGGAGCAGCAGCGCCGCCAGCAGGCCGCTGCAGCCCTTGCTGCTGCTGAGGACGCAGCACGGGGCAGCAGGGGAGGGCAGGCGGTGGGCAGGGCGGCGGCGAGGCGCCTTGCGAGGCGGCGGCGAAAAGTGGTGGCTCGACTGGTGGCAGAGGTGAGGGCGGGGGGGGGGAGATTGGGGGACAAGGGAGGGTTGGATTGAGGAGTGTGAGAGGCGAGAGGCGAGGAAATTGGGAGGTGAAGAAGAGGAGCAAAGAGAGAGGAGATGGGAGAGGAATGTGCTGTGCAGTATACCAGAAGCTCAAAGCTTTATGTCTCTCATGCAAGTGTATCATGTGCCCAATGCCATGTACCCAATGCCATATGCCTTGTTTTCCCTGACCTCCCTTGACCTCCCTGCCTTCCCTCCCCCCATGTGGCTTGCGATGCGGCACAGACGGGTGAGCTGCAGCAGGAGGTGGAGGGCAGGAGGGCGAGGCGCAGCGCAGTGGAGTACCATCTGCTGCACGCCGGCATCTTCCTCGACCCGCCCGCCAAACCCTCCCCGGTAATGTCCTCCCCGCCACTGCCCTTGTGTCGCCCTGCCCCATCCCCACAGCCCTTGCAACCTGCCACAGCCCTTGCAACCTGCCACAGCCCTTGCAAATGATGCTACTGCCGCATCTCTTTCTTCTTCCTGCTCCCCATCCCTTCGTCCACTCCCTCGCCCTCCACGTCCCCTCACCCTCTGCTTATAAATCCCTCCTTCTCCCCCCTCTCCTTTTTCCTTCTCCCCCCTCTCCTTTTTCCTTCTCCCCCCTCTCCTTTTTCCTTCTCCCCCCTCTCCTTTTTCCTACTTCCCCCGCCCATTTCCCCCTGTGCTGTGTGGTGTGCTGTGCTGGGCGTGGCGGTGGGCATGGTGGCAGGAGGTGGAGGAGGAGGAGAGGAGGGAGGCGGCGGAGGTGGAGTGGCTGAGGGGCGAGGTGAGGGTGGCGCGCCGCTGGATGGACGTGCAGCGCCTCGTGTGGATCAACCGCGACCGCCAGCACCGCGCCCTGCTGCGGCGCGGGGGCAGGAGCAGCGCGCACAGCTGCAGCACATGATGTGAGTCGCAGCACGTGATGTGAGTTGTCACGCATGCTGTGAGTTGTAACGCGTGATATGAGTTGTGACAAGGGGTGATTGCTTTTGTAACATGTGACCACGACTCATCTCCCTTATGCTACCCCCTCCCCTCCAATGCCCCGCATGCCCCCAACCGGGTGTGGCAGTCAGCAGCTGGAGAGCCAGCTGTTGCAGCTGGAGCGGCACGAAGGGCTGCTGAGAGAAGGCAACTCGCAGGTGGGCGGGCAAGTGAAAGGGTGGGCGGGCAAGTGAAAGGGTGGGCGGGCAAGTGAAAAGGTGGGCGGGCAAGTGAAAGGGTGGGCGGGCAAGTGAAAGGGTGGGCGGGCAAGTGAAAGGGTGGGCGGGCAAGTGAAAGGGCGGGCGGGCAAGTGAAAGGGTGGGCGGGCAAGTGAAAGGGTGGGCGGGCAAGTGAAAGGTGCGAGGGCTTGTGAAAGGTGCGAGGGCTAGTGGCATGTGCAAGTGGCGTTTGCATGGCCCTCTGAACGCTTGGATGCACACCACATATAACACCGCATGTCACAAACACGTGCCACACCACGCTCACTACTCGCTGCCTGTTCCCCTCCCCCCCTTTCCCCACCCCACGCCCAGCTCAACGAAGCGTTGGCGCAAGGCACGGCCCTGCCAGCAGCAGCAGCACTGTCCTTCGCGTCCTTCTCCTCTCTGCCCGCAGACCACCCGTCCTTCCCACATGACCTCTCGCTCTCTGACATGCCAGATGACGCCTCTCTCACCTCCGAGCCCCACTCCTCCGCGCTGCCCCCCTGGCTCGCCTCCCCCTCCACCGCCTCCGCCAGCCCAGCGCCCTCCCTGGGCCGCCCCCCTCCGCCTCGCGCCGCTCCCTGCCCGCCTCGCACTTCGCCCAGCCCGCCCCCCACGCGCCGTCGCCCTCCCCCCGCCACAGTGCGCGCAGCCTCAGCGGCCCACTGCCCTCCCCGCGCTCACGCTGGCGCTCACGCTCGCGCAACGCCTCGGGGCGGCGCCAGGCACTGGAGCCGCTGGCAGTGGGAGGGGGGGGAGGAGCAGAGGGTGAGGAGGGGATGTCGGACGAGGCGTCCCCCCAGCCCATGTGCGCGCCCTTCACCCCCACCTCCTCCCGCCGTGCCCTCGACCAGAGCCGCGGTGCCATGGATGGCCGCATGACCGGGTGAGTGGCTGGGCTGTGAGGAGCGACGTGATCAGGGCCCGCCCTCTCTCTCTCTCCTCTCTCTCTCTCTCTCTCTCTCTCTCTATCTCTCTCTCTCTCTCTCTCTCTCTCTCTCTCTCTCTCTCTCTCTCTCTCTCTCTCTCTCTCTCTCTCTCTCTCTCTCTCTCTCTCTCTCTCTCTCTCTCTCTCTCAAGCGGTCCTTGTATTAGCAAGCAGAAAAGTACAGACATGCGCGGAAGAAAAAGAAGGCACCTGGAGCATGTATCGTTGGTACTAACCCCGCCCCTTCATCCCCTCTCCCTACCGCTCCACCTAAGGGAGCTCCAGTGCCGGCTCCAGGATTGCAAAGCAATCCCCGAGGGACATGCCCTCTCCCGGCATCCCCACAGGTGGGTTTTCCACCTGTGCCGCGAAGTTGCATTTCGTCATGAAGCTCACCGACTGAGCACGCTGCAGCGCCACGGACCAACGCTGACGGAACTGATGCAGCAGCTTCGTGGCCTGGTAAGAGGAAGGGGGGGCGTTGAAGTGCCTGCGGGCAGCGGTGTCAGCAAGGAGTTTGAGGAATGCGGGGACTTCCGCGCACGGGCATCCGTAAGTCTCGACGGCCAGTGGGAAGAATCCAACCCATGAGGCCGTCGAACCGTCATAGTCGGATATTTTCTTGTCTGCCGCTTCGCGTGCCGCCCAGCCCCTCCCTTTGGTCGTATTGGGGTCACGGGTGCTAATGGGGTCCGTGATTGTCACGTCCCCGATCCAAACGGCCCCGGACGAGCGGTCCCGTATGGCGATGTCGGCTTTCTTCCTGGTGACTGGGCAGAATGCTGTTGTTTCGCTGTGGGTCATAAAGCCCGCGTCTTCCGCCATGCGTACACACTCATCACGCAGTTCGTTGTGAGTATTGGTCCGCCCCCCTCCTGTGTCGCAGCGGAGCAGGTGGTTGGGCAGTCTCCTGTCGGTGATTTCTACTTCTCTGCGGCAGTCACAGGCGCCTGGGCCTGAGGAAGGTAAGCCCATCCGGAACTGCAGCGCATGGGCAAAGTGGGCCGGGGCGAGGCGTAGCGAGGAGTTGAAAGGGACTGCGTGTAGCCAGTCCCCTGCCCCGTATCCCGAGAGGGAAAGCATGCGCTGGGTGTGGCCACTGAGGGGGTTGAGCTGCATCGAGCGCGTGTCTTGGACCTGCTCGGCGTTTAGCGCAGCCCGTGGACTGCTATTGCCAGTCCATGCTGCAGGTTGATGCCCTTGGGCTCAGCCCGTTCGCTCTCTCTCTCTCTCTCTCTCTCTCTCTCTCTCTCTCTCTCTCTCTCTCTCTCTCTCTCTCTCTCTCTCTCTCTCTCTCTCTCTCTCTCTCTCTCTCTTTGCACCACCTTCCTCTTTGCCCACTCTCACGCTCTCTCACCCAGTAAGTGGATTCTTCAATCTCTCACCCATTCTCATTCTTTTCCTGCTGCTCGTCCTGCTCTCATTGGGTGGGGAGGCCGGCAGGTGGGCGAGGAGGAGGAGGAGGCGCAGGCCGCAGTGGAGGCGGGCGCCCTCACGCCCTCGTCGTCGCGCTTCTGGGGCTCCGCCTCTGACAGGCGGACGGCCGACCGCGAGCGAGACAGGGAAAGGGAGAGGGAGCGGGAGAGGGAGCGGGAGTGGGAGAGGGAGAGGGAGAAGGAGAGGGAGAGGGACAGAGAGAAGGAGAGGGAGCGGGGAGGGGGAGGGGGAGGGGGAGGAGGGGCGATGGATCTGGCAGCGCGCTTCACCCGTGCCCTCTCACTGGCACGCAGCGATGCAGACAAGGGAGGAGGGGCGGGGGCGAAGGGCGAGAAGGAGAAGGCATCAGGGCGGTGGTGGGGGGGCCTCAACACGCCCAGCTCACGGGCGTTGGGGCCGGTGGTGGAGGCGTACCGAGTGGAGCCGGGCGAGGGCTCCACCATCCTCCACATCTTCCACCAGGTCACATCTTCCACCAGGTCACATCTTCCACCAGGTCACATCTTCCACCAGGTCACATCTTCCACCAGCTCACATCTTCCACCCGGTCACATCTTCCACCAGGTCACATCTTCCACCAGGTCACATCTTCCACCAGGTCACATCTTCCACCAGGTCACATCTTCCACCAGGTCACAGCCTCTCTTGCGTCACATCAATTCATCGCTGCCTTGCTCTGCCTCTCTCTGCCTTGGCTCTCCCTCACCGCCCTCTTTCTGCCCTCCTTCTGCCCTCTTTCTGCCCTCCTTCTGCCCTCTTTCTACTCTTTCTCACCACGTCCCCATCACCAGGCATCACGGCGCATGCGCAGCATGGAGGCGGGTGACTTTGAGATAGCGGAGTGCGAGCTCTTCACGGCGCGCGATGATGTGGACGACCTCAGGGCGCACCCCAACCTGCTGTCCGAGCACATGCTCATCTGCCTCCTTCGTCAGTCCTCACCCTTTATCTCGTTCTTGCTTCCCCCGCTTGCCCTGCTTCATTCCATCCATCATTTCACCTGCTTGCTCTGTGTGCTGCCCTGCCGCGCTCACCTTCCTCGTTCCTTACATCTTTCAGTGCTCGCCTCGCCTCACACATCATCCACCGCATGAGGCGCCTTAAAGCTCGCCTCACACATCATCCACCGCATGAGGCGCCTTAAAGCTCGCCTCAAACATCATCCACCGCATGAGGCGCCTTAAAGCTCGCCTCACACATCATCCACCGCATGAGGCGCCTTAAAGCTCGCCTCACACATCATCCACCGCATGAGGCGCCTTAAAGCTCGCCTCACACATCATCCACCGCATGAGGCGCCTTAAAGCTCGCCTCACACATCATCCACCGCATGAGGCGCCTTAAAACTCCAGTATACATTTGTCAGCAGGGTTTCGGGATTTGATAATGTGCCTCACAGCTTTGGGGCAACTTTTCAAGTTCCTAAGGATTTTGAACTCCTCCCTTCAAATGTATACCGGAGCTTTAAAGCTCGCCTCACACATCATCCACCGCACCCCTCCCCCCAAAACAGAGATTTACCGCCGCCATGCCTTTGGCGCCGTCACATCGCCCGACCGCTTTGCCTCCACGCCGCGCTCCGCCACCTTCGGCCCCTCCACGCAGCCCCACTCCTTCCCCTCCACGCAGCCCCTTTCCTTCCCCGACCCGCCTCTGCCGCGCCCTGCCCACCACCCCCCTGCGCGCCGCCGCACCTTCTTCCGCAGCCGCAGCGCTGCCAACCCCTCCTCGCACTCCTCGCGCTCCCCCCGCTCCTCCCCACGCCGCCACAAGCGCACAGCAGGCGGCGGCGCCGAGGGGTACGGCAGTGATGAGGACGCGGCGGGGCGGCCGTACCCGCAGGCATATGGCGGCGTGGCGGTGGGCGGCGGGCCGTGGGAGGACGGCGTCAGCAGCACGGATGGGGAGAGCCCGTCAGGGCTCAGGGGCGCGCGGCATGGGTGGGACGAAGGAGATGGGCGCGGTGGGCAGTGGCAGGCGAGGCGGGGGGGGGCAGGCGGGGGGGTGGGAGCATGGAGGAGGCGACGTTGACGGAGGTGTCGGAGTGGGAGGAGGTGGGCGACGACGACACCGACGTGGACCTGCGCCACCTCCGCGCCTCCGAGCTCGACCTCCTCGGCCCGCCCTCTGCCTCGCCTCTGCGCCCGCGCCTGCGGCCGCGCACGCCCACCACGCTCTGGCTGCGCCACCGCCACCGCCACCACCGCTCGTCCGGGGGGGGGAGCGGGTGGGGGGCGGGCGCACAGCAGGGGAGAGGCGGCGATGTGGCATCGCCGTACAGCAGTGGGAGGAGGGGGGGCGGAGGGCACGGGGAGTTCCCAAATCCCAGCACGCCCAGCAGTGGCAACGCTGCAGCAGGCGCGCTGCGGCTGGGGAGAACCACGTCCACCCGCGTGGTCACTGCTGTCGCCCGCGTGCTGCCCCCCCCCGCTCCCTCCGCCCCCGCTGCCACCCCCCCCGCTGCTGGCGCTGGGGGGGCTGGGGCAGGGGCGAAGGGGAGTAAGGAAAAGGAGAAGGGAGGGAAGGGGAAGCAAGGGGGCAAGGACGCAGCAGGCAGCGGCCGCAGCAGCAGCAGCAGCAGGAGCAGCAGCGGCAGCAGCAGCAGCTGCTGCTGCAGCAGAGAAGGGCGAGTTGGGGGCAGACGACTTTGAGAAGTTCTTTGGAACAAGTGGCGAGGTGCCAGCGCCCACAGAGTGGAGTGCGCTGAGCAGCGCGCAGCTGGACCCGTATGGGGTGTTCGGCGAGCACCTGTGCCCCGACGCGGGCAACTACATTCAGATGCTCGCCGTGCAGCACCCGCCCTCCGAGGCCACCATGACCCACGCCGATGCCACTCGCCTGCTGCACTTCCGGTGAGAGTGAGAGTGGGTGCAAGGGAAGGAGGGAAGCGAAGGAGCTCTGTGGGGCAGCAGCTGAGAGGGGATCTCCCTCTTGCTCCTTCTCCTCGCCGCTCTTATGCCTGCCTGCCTGTGTGCCACCCTGCCTCGCCCCCCCCCACCCCTCCCACCCACCCACAGCGCCATGGCAGCACAGCTGGAGGAGGTGGATCCATCGCTGCTGTCACACAACGAGCGCCTGGCGTTCTGGATCAACATCTACAACGCGCTGTTGCTCTACGTGAGGCCTTAGTGTGCTCTATTACTCTGCTCTTGGAGAGACATCCGCGTGCATGCTTCCAGTGAAAGCTCCTCACCAACTACGCTTTTCCAAACCCACCCGCCTTACCTCTTCTTCCCGCAACCCACCTTGTCCAATCCGTTCCCAATCACCAAACAAAGTCAGCCAACCGCTCTCGCTGTCAGCCAACCGCTCTCGCTGTCAGCCAACCGCTCTCGCTGTCAGCCAACCGCTCTCGCTGTCAGCCAACCGCTCTCGCTGTCAGCCAACCGCTCTCGCTGTCAGCCAACCGCTCTCGCTGCCCTCCTCACCCTCTCGCTGCCCTCCTCACCCTCTCGCTGCCTGCGTGCGTGCTGTGTGCTGCGTGGTGTGGTGTGGTGTGCGTGCATGCAGATCTACATTGTCATCCCCACGCCCACTGACTTTGCTGACCGCATCGCTCTCTTCAGCAAGGTCAGTACACACACACGTGCCGTGCCCACACGTGCCCACCCGTGCCGTGCCCACACGTGCCATGCCAGAATAGTGTGGTAGCAAAGGGAGGGCCACCAGCGGTTTAGTGAGTGGTGGTGTGGTGTGGTATGGTGTGGTGTGGTGTGGTGTGGTGTGGTGTGGTGTGGTGTGGTGTGGTGTGGTGTGGTGTGGTGTGGTGGGAGTAAGGGAACCGCTAATGTGCGGATATATCATAGTGATGCTCAATCTCTAGTGTCAACTCACCGCTCTCACATCCCACCTTGCCATGCGATGCCACCCATGCCACCATGCCACCATGCCACCATGCCACCATGCCACCATGCCACCATGCCACCCATGCCACCATGCCACCCATGCCACCATGCCACCCATGCCACCATGCCACCCATGCCACCATGCCACCCATGCCACCATGCCACCCATGCCACCATGCCACCCATGCCACCATGCCACCCATGCCACCATGCCACCCATGCCACCGTGCCACCCATGCCACCATGCCACCATGCCACCCATGCCACCGTGCCACCCATGCCACCATGCCACCATGCCACCCATGCCACCGTGCCACCCATGCCACCATGCCACCATGCCACCGTGCCACCCATGCCACCATGCCACCCATGCCACCATGCCACCCATGCCACCATGCCACCCATGCCACCGTGCCACCCATGCCACCATGCCACCATGCCACCCATGCCACCGTGCCACCCATGCCACCATGCCACCATGCCACCCATGCCACCGTGCCACCCATGCCACCATGCCACCATGCCACCCATGCCACCGTGCCACCCATGCCACCCATGCCACCCATGCCACCCATGCCACCCATGCCACCCATGCCACCCATGCCACCCATGCCACCCATGCCACCCATGCCACCATGCCACCGTGCCACCCATGCCACCATGCCACCATGCCACCATGCCACCCATGCCACCGTGCCACCCATGCCACCATGCCACCATGCCACCCATGCCACCGTGCCACCCATGCCACCATGCCACCATGCCACCCATGCCACCGTGCCACCCATGCCACCATGCCACCATGCCACCCATGCCACCGTGCCACCCATGCCACCCATGCCACCCATGCCACCCATGCCACCCATGCCACCCATGCCACCCATGCCACCCATGCCACCCATGCCACCCATGCCACCATGCCACCGTGCCACCCATGCCACCATGCCACCATGCCACCATGCCACCATGCCACCGTGCCACCCATGCCACCATGCCACCATGCCACCATGCCACCATGCCACCGTGCCACCCATGCCACCATGCCACCGTGCCACCGTGCCACCCATGCCACCATGCCACCATGCCACCCATGCCACCGTGCCACCCATGCCACCCATGCCACCCATGCCACCCATGCCACCCATGCCACCCATGCCACCCATGCCACCCATGCCACCCATGCCACCCATGCCACCATGCCACCGTGCCACCCATGCCACCATGCCACCATGCCACCATGCCACCATGCCACCGTGCCACCCATGCCACCATGCCACCATGCCACCATGCCACCATGCCACCGTGCCACCCATGCCACCATGCCACCGTGCCACCGTGCCACCCATGCCACCATGCCACCATGCCACCGTGCCACCCATGCCACCATGCCACCATGCCACCATGCCACCATGCCACCATGCCATGGCAGGTGGGCTTCCTGATAGGAGGCCAGCTCTACAGTGTGCTGCTCATCGAACACGCCGTGCTCAGAGCCGCCACCCACAAGCCCTACATTGTCAGTCGCAATCACCCATCTGCTCTGACTGTGCCAGGAAATCAAGCATATTTAGTCGTTGTGCTCCTTTGACTGCTTGATTAGTGAAGCTTCCATCTTTTATCCTCATGCCTCAGCCTCCTGATTATCTTCCTTCCACCCACCTGCTCTCGTCATCTGTCATCCCCCCTGCACCCCGGCTCCATCTCTCTCTGCTCTCTCCGCCCCCATCAGATCCGCGCCCTGCCCAGCACCACGTTCCGCCCGGACGATGCGCGCTCGCTGTGTGTGTTGTCCCGCGCAGAGCCCCTTGTGTCCTTCGCCCTCTGCTCCGGCACGCGCTCCTCGCCCTCCGTCAGTACCCCCTCCCGCTCCTCGCCCTCCGTCAGTACCCCGCCTGCTTTGCCCCTCCCCACCCCATGTGCTGCTGCTCTCGCTGCTGTGACCCTGGCATCCAGCCTCTTGCTGCCACCACATCCACATCCACATCCACATCCACATCCACATCCACATCCACATCCACATCCACATCCACATGCCACCCCTGCCCCTCCCTCCAATCTCACACCTTCCTCTTCCCCACCTCTCCCATTCCCACCTGCGCGCCTCTCCCCTTCCCCCAGATGCGGGTGTACCGGGCGGAGAGTGTGCAGCAGCAGCTGCGGGGCGCCATGGTGGAGTACCTAGGGGCGGCAGTGAGCGTCAACGAGGCCAATAAAATCATCATCCCCAAGCTGCTGCAGTGGTGAGTCCCTTCATGTCTCACCAGATCTTTCCCCTCATCTCCGTGCCACCAATCCACTCTATCCAACATGCCAACACATTCCATTACCCCCATAACTCGCCTCCTCCCTCCTTCCCTCCCTCCCTCCTTCTCTTGTCCCCCTCTCCCCCATGCACCAGGTACCTGCCTGACTTTGCACCGGACGTGTGGAGTCTACTGGAGTGGCTGGCGAACGTGCTGCCCACCAACCAGGCCGTGGTGCTCATGAACTGCCTCCCCACCGGCGCTGCCAACGTCTCCGCCTCTAAGTGCGTCGTCGTCGCACCCTTCGACTACCGCTTCCGCTACCTCATCCCACCCGTCCTGCCCAACTAGCGTCATCCCACCCACTTTCAGCTAGCGTGCAGGATGGGACCCAGTTCATGTGCTCGTGCTGTCACTGCCCAGCGCTGGCAGAGGTGTGGGTAGCGGTGGCAGAGGTGTGGGCAGCAGTGGTTGTGGATGTGGTGTGGTGGGAAGGCATGTGTTTGTGCAAACAGACGGATGCATGGTGCAGCGTGCATGTACTCTCCTTGATAGCGTGCATGTTTTACGGGTAACAAGCGGTTGGTTGCAGAACTACCGTAGTTGGGGTCATCATCTAAAGTGGTGTAGTAGCCATTATAGGTAGTACGTAGATGTTTTGCCACGTGCAGCCCAATTGTTGTCATAATTTGCACACTAGTGTGTTACATTTTGGTATGTGGCTCATTCTTGGAACTCCAGGCAAATAAAACCCAGCAATGACCACAGGTGTCGGTGGTTGATTGCAGATTGAAACACCTGTGCACCTCAGGTGGATGAAGAGTGAGGACTTGGTGCGGGAATAGAGAGCTCTAGTTTGGTGTGCTTGTTGTTTAACCAACCACCAAGGTCTACACAATTCTGAAAAGTGCGATTCGGGCTTGTGATCAATTGCAGCACAGGACGTTTTCGTGCTGGTGTGGACATGAATTACAAGCAGCAGATGAGTGCAGTTAGGGGGAGGGCGAGAGAGTGGAGGATGGGGAGAGGGAGGGGGACGTGGAGGAACGGGAGGGCGGAGTCCATTCAATGCCGCTTCCCTGCCTCCTCCCTGCACCCTCCACTTCCCTCCCTAGCACCTCCCTCACTCTCCGCTTGTCCCTCCTTGCTTCTGTGCGCCCCACTCCAACCCCCCCCGACCCATGTGCACCGCTGCCAAGCACAGCTGGCAGAGAGGAGGGTGTGAGGGGTGGGGAGGAGGGGCTGTCCTCGCTGCACTCGCGGCTCTCATCTGACCTCGTACCATCATTGCCACTGCCACTGCCACTTGCACTCGCACTGCCCCCTGTGCCCTCCCTTTGCACCCCTCCTCTCACCGCCACTGCCCCACCTCCCCACCTCCTCTCCCTCTCCCCCTGTCTGCAAACACAGTGCCTCTCGCCGCACCAATCAGGTCACGGCGCCACACTGCCAGCCCATCAGACTCTGCAGCAGGAGGCCTCTCGCTCGCCCCAGCCCCTCCCACCAACGGCCCTGCCTCGCCCCCTCCCTCTCCTCCTCCCGTGCCTTCCCGACGCCCCGGCACAGCATCACTCCTCATCCCCTCTCTTGCACTGCTCATCCCCTCTCTTGCACTGCTCATCCCCTCTCTTGCACTGCTCCCCTGCCTGCCTCCTTCCCCCCCCTGCTGCCTCGCTGTCCCCCCCAGCCTCTCTCCCCCCAGCTGCCTGGCCCGCTGTCGCATCAGGTACGCCTCCCACGATGAGCCCACCGCCCGCCTCACTGCCTCGCTGCCATCCCTCCCGCCCCTGCCGCCCCTCCCTTCACTCGCTTCCCCCACTCGCCTCTCCCACCCCCTGCCACACCACCCCCCAGCTGCGCATGCCTCAAGCCCGTCCCCTGCCTGCTGCCCCCAATGCCCACGGCCGGCCCACCCTCCCCCGCCACCCCCTGCCACACGCCCCTATCCCCCACGCTCCCCTGCACGGCACGGTGAAGCGGCATGAGTGGGGCGCCCGTCGAGGGGCGCGCAGAGGACGACGCACGCCACGAGGCACCGGAGGCAGCCCAGCGGTCAGAGGCCGCGGCACCCAAGGGTCCGTGGGCCGTGGAGGGGGAATGGGCAGGGCGGTGGTGGGTGTGGGATGCATCGTGGGCATGGTGATGGGTATGGGAGGGGGAGGGCGCATGGGCATGGGCATGATGCTGTTGGCTCCAGGGCAATGGGGCAGCAGCGTGGATGCGCTGATGCAGCAGCGACGAGAAGGACGACGTTGCATGCCATGACGCTGCACCCCTACCCTGCCCCGCCTGCTGCATCCCATGCCACCCCCACTCCCCTCCCTGCGTCCGCCACTATTGCCATCCACACCCCTCCACCACGCCACACCGTCCTCCACCTCCTCCTCGTCCCACCAGCCCCTACCACCGTTCCCCCTCTGGCGCCTCTGGCCGCCCAGCAGCGCGCCAGGGTTCCAGGGACACGCGTCGGCAGCATCGGCTTCAGCCTGGGAGGGGAGGCGGAAGCGGCAGACGGGGCAGGAGTTGGACTGCGCGAGCCAGGGCAGGATGCAGTCGCTGTGGTAGGCGTGGCGGCACGGCAGCTGCTGCGTGACGGCGCCCACGCCCATGTCCTCGTGGCACACCGCGCACGCCTCCACGCCCCCCTCCACGTCCTCCTCGCGCACTATGCGCAGTGGCAGCGCCCGCACTGCCGCCCGTGATGCTGGCGTGTGCGTGCTGGTGGGCGGGGACGGGGGAGGAGAATGCGGAGGTCGGGGAGAAGGTAGGGGTGGGCAATCGAGGGAAAGGGGGGAGGAAGTAGAAAGCTAACAGGATGCGATAGGTTGCCCCGAGGTAGCCTCATTGCAAGCATTGAGAGCGGCCCCCGTGGTGCTGACGGCATGGCAATGCAGGGAGCCACGCGTGCCATACGCGGGGAGAGGGGAAGGCGGGGAGTGTCACCTGGTGTGGGCCGCAGGGTGTGCGGTGGCGATGCGGTCGACGAGCGCGCTGAAGTCATCTCCAAGGAAGTAGTCGCCCACCCGCCCCGACAACTCGCCACCTCCACCACCGCCTGCCGCTGCCGCTGCGTCGGATGTTGCAACGCGTGGCGGAATGCCGTCGTCGCTGCTCTCGTCGTCGCTGCTCTCGTCGTCGCTGCTCTCGTCGTCGCTGCCCGCACTCTGCCACGCCAGAATGAGTAGGTAACACAAGAGCTTGTGCAAGAAGAATGAGGGAGAGGCGAGGGTGGGGGGATGGCGTTACGTCGGCACAACACATTCACAGCGCAGCACGAGGCGCCATATCATAAAACATACATGCCACTCACTATACCTCCTCTCGCCACTCCCTCCGTCCCCTACGCGCACCTGCCTCCGGGCAGTGTCGTTCATCGGCGCGCTTCTGGCGCGCAGCTGCGCGGTGGCGACCTCCAGGAACGACGACTCCTCCCTCATGTCGCGCAGAAAGCGCGCCAAGCCGTCCTCGCCGTCGCCGTAGTCGCCGAACACGCCGCCCGAGGGCTCCTGCGACCGCTCGTGCGACGCTGCGAGCCCAGCGGAAGCACGTCGTCGAGCGGATCGAGCGACTCTAGGGCGACGCGGCGAGAGGCGTCGCGTTGTCGACGCGGGGAGCGGCCTGTGCGGGTGGGAACGGTGGAAGCCTCGCCGCCGTCGGATGGGGATGGGGAGGTGGGGGGCGACGCGGCCTCGCGCGCAATGGCGGCACTTCCGCCGATGTCGGGCGACGACGACCGCGATGACTCCGGGTCGGCGCGCAGGCGTTGGGAGCGGTGAGCGAGCACGCTGCGCATGTCCGCCCAGGCGTCGGCGAGCGAGAGGTTCGCACGCGCGGGCGACGGGTGCAGCGCGGCGGGCCCGGCGAGCGCGGCCGCGGGGAGCTCCTCGACGAAGCCGCCTCCGCACGCCGGGCATCGCGGGCCGGCCATGGCGGGCTCGAAGAGAGGGCCGCCTATGGAGGCGACGGTCGCGCACTGATGGCACCAGTAGGTGCGCGCCGACAGCGAGGACGACATGGTGGTGGTCGCGGAGGAGAGTAGGAAGAATGCTGCTCGCGTGAGTCACTCGCTATGTTGGCGAGTTTCCATGATGCTCGCTGGACAAGGAGAGTTTATTCACGCTATTCTATGTGACGAGGACGGGACACGAGACGATGGACTGGAGCCATAGCCAGAAAACATACATCCGCTGAGGGATGGAGCAAACCAATGAATGGGATGGACTGAATGAGCAAACCAATGAATGGGATGGACTGAATGGATGGCAAGCGAAGTGAGAAGTGAATTTCGCCCATCCCAAGCTCCATCCAACCCGAACCCCCAAACCAGCATTCAGAGGGACACGAATCCGACGGTCAAAGAGATCCGAGCTGGCATTCCAAACGCTTCATCTAAGGTCCCGGTGCGCTCTACTGTGGGACATCCAGACCAACGATCGCGGTGATCCGTCCGATAAAAGCCCCTCGCCTGATTGTGGAGTACAAACCCCTCGTCCTACCAACCTCGGGCAAAAACAGTGACTTCATGTACCGCAAGTGTTCAAAACTCATCTTCATGTACAGCAAGTGCAGTTGTTCCTATAACGAATTTAAATACAAGCTTTACTCTGCTCATATTGCTAATAATCATATTGCTAAAGCATCACCTGAGAGATGAGCACATGCCCCATAGCATGTTGAAGTTTACCTACTCTGAATGACGGCAGTTATTTCAAGGCGACCTCGTTGTCGATGACATTGTGCGATCAAATGTATCCATGCTGCAAAAAAAAAAGAAACAAGCTTATTAGCAACAAGAATGATAACTACGACATTGCACACTGTACATAACCAGAAACGAGCACACAAATAAGTGCTGAACCTACCTGGCCCTGCGACCGCTGCTTCCCAGCAGTATCTGGCTGCTGCTGTTGGCTCGCATCATGGCCTTGTGTGAATCACTGGCCCCTTGCCGCCTCTCCTAGACGATGCAATGCTCTCCACATCATCACGCTCTGCTGTGCCACCAAGACAAAGGGCACGTTGCATGTCACAATGCTTACATGGCATGACATATTGCTGTTACACTGCATGACACATTTCGTGACGGAATGCATTACACATCCCTGTATACAATGCTTGACACAATGCATGATACATTACGTGAAACGTGGGGCACACAAGCGCAAAAGCCCATCAAACACCATGGAAAGCCATGGTGCACGCGCAGTAAGGAAAAGATAGCGGCACTGCCATTTTGGCTCCTACCACCCGTCCTCTTTCACTATCACCCTCCACCCTTACTCCCCATCACACCCTCCCCCCACCTGTGCCGGCGCCTGTGGGTGCGGCAGCGTCGTGTGGCTTGGCGGCGGACTGGAACTGCTTCTGGTCGGGGATGACGATGGCGGCATCGATGTTGTCTGGCAGCCCGCGGTGCCGCGCCAGCAGCATCACCAGCACCATCACCACCTTCGCCTCCGTGCGCCACACCCCTGCCCCCGCCCGCCCAGGATGAGAGGGGGAGAGGGAGAACAGGAGGACGGGGTTGTGTGAGGTGAGGAGTGGCTGGATGGGGTGGAGAGAGCAGCAGTGGGAATGCGGGAGCAGCAGCAGGGAGCACACTGACCTGAGAAGCTGTAGGGCGGGGAGACACAGCCGGGGGGGGCGTCTTCTGGACAGGTGTAGCCGAGAGAGAAGCCCACGTTGCCATAGCCACTGCAATGGCGGGCATGTGTTTGCACGTATGCATGCATGTACAGGGCGCACAAGGCACACACATACATTCGCACTCGATGCACACAGACAGCCACACACATGACACACACACACATGAGGACGCACAGCACACACACACAGACGCATTTGGAGAGGGAGGAAAAATTGGAGGGGCGGATGCATGGTGGGTGGGCAAGGCGGGCTGCAGGTGGAACGCTTGTGTGCACAGTGACTGTAGGAAATGAGCAGCACACATCCATGTGCTGCCTCCTCTTGCCTCACCTCACCCTGTCTCTCTTTCTCGTTGCCAACCACAAACTGACTAGCCCCCACATGACACATGGCAGACGAGCACGGGCTGGAGTCGGGGGCACGGCGCATGGGCCAAGGAGCTTGCCTCATGATTTCGAAGATGATGTTGAAGATGGAGAAGTTGGCTGGATCACTGGAGATCATGGGGCTCTCCATGATGCAAACGAGGAAGATGGCCAGGAAGATGAGCGCCGTGTCGTGCAGGAAGAGCTTCTTGCCCTGCGTGAGCACGCCCGGGTCCAGCACGCCCTCCTGCAGGTCCTCGTAGAACACCCCTATGTCCTCGTCGTCGTACACCTCGCGCTGCTCGCGCGACGTCTGCCGCGCCAGGTACACCGGGTACACTGCCACGTTCCTGAGAAAGGGGAAAGTGGGGAGGGAGGGCAGGGGAGGGAAGGAAACATGGTATGAGGAGCAGTGTCGCGTGCGGTAAGCGCGTTAGGTGGCACCATCCTGGCCGGTGCGGCAAGGGCTGAGGCACATGGGCCACTGGGAAAGCAAATGAGGGGGCAGAGAGGCATGCATGCATGATGCAGTGCAGGGTGGGCGGACTGACATGAGACCGATGTAGAGCACGAGCATGGGTGGCGAGAGCAGCGCAAGGACGACCACATTGTAGCCCGTGGTGCGCGTGCAGATGGACTGGAAGTACCCCACCAGCACCTTGGTGGCGCCTGCCACCCCACACACCAGAGACGCAAGGATGGGGGAAGAGAGGGGGATGAGGGGAGGAGTGATGAACTAATGCCAGAATGATTGTAGAGAATTTTCTATCTACAACTTATCATCCCCAACTGTACAGTACAGTACAGCCCATGGTCACCATCCTGAGGATTTTTTACAACAGCCGACAGCACAAGGCAGCCCATGGTCCCCCATGCCCCCTGCTCGGCACAGTGGACAGCCCACCCATTGTGCCACGTGGAGGTGCAGACCCGCGCCCAGGGCACAATGAACTCCGCCGCTGCTGTGAAGCTCAGGGTAAAAAAAATAAAACAGAGCAAGGCTTGTGCGTTCCCCTGCCATCCCCCTGGCTGTGGCACGCACTGGAGAGGCCATCGAGGGCGGTGGAGTGCCAGTCGAAGACACAGAAGAAGATGAACTCGATGCTGTTGAACGCGACCACTGTTGCCACGAGCCACAGCGTAGACGAGCGCGGGAACAGGTGCGTGTAGCACTTGCGCGGGTGCTGCAGCAGATACTCGTACACCACCTGGTGGCGCGCATGGGCGCAGACAGGGAGCGGGGCGGGAAGAGGGAAAGAAGAGTCGAGAATGGCGGAGACGTGATGGGGGGAGGAAGCATGCACGTGGTGGTCGTGGCGCTGCATGTGGCGCCGCTGGTGAGACAGGCTCGTGTGGCGGCGGCAGCAGTGTGACGTGTGTGTGACACACACAGCGGGTTCAAGGGGACGAGGTCCCAGGAGTGCGGAGGGTGGTGGCAGGCGGCACCTTGTGCTCGCCCTTGGCGGCGCGGTGCAGCAGCAGCAGCAGGCCACGCAGCGTGGGGGCGAAGAGCGTGTTGCCGAGGAGCATGAGGAGGGAGAGCAGCAGCAGCAGCGGCACGTTGCTGTTGAAGTCCATGAGGTTGCTGTTCAGCAGCACCAGCCCCGTGTTGCTGAACGCCGATACCACCTGCCCTCCCGCGCGCACCAATTTGGGGAGAACGGAGTGTGGGGGCGAGAGAGGAGGGTACAATGGGTGGAGGGAGGAGGGGAGCAGGATGACAGTTAACAGGGCAGTGGTGATGACGTGCGGGGCAGTGGTGACGACGTGCGGGGCAGTGGTGATGACGTGTACAAGAAGCTTCATGCTGGCAGCAAGGAACACATGCAGCGCACACGAGCGGCACAGATTGCATAAGGTGCAGCAGAGAGGAGGGCGGAGGAGGGGGGGAGCAGAGAGGGCAGAGGAGGGGGGCGGCAGGGAAGGCAGAGGAGGGGGCGGCAGGGAAGGCAGAGGAGGGGGGCGGCAGGGAAGGCAGAGGAGGGGGGCGGCAGGGAAGGCAGAGGAGGGGGGCGGCAGGGAAGGCAGAGGAGGGGGGCGGCAGGGAAGGCAGAGGAGGGGGGCGGCAGGGAAGGCAGAGGAGGGGGCGGCAGGGAAGGCAGAGGAGGGGGGCGGCAGGGAAGGCAGAGGAGGGGGGCGGCAGGGAAGGCAGAGGAGGGGGGCGGCAGGGAAGGCAGAGGAGGGGGGCGGCAGGGAAGGCAGAGGAGGGGGGCGGCAGGGAAGGCAGAGGAGGGGGGCGGCAGGGAAGGCAGAGGAGGGGGCGGCAGGGAAGGCAGAGGAGGGGGGCGGCAGGGAAGGCAGAGGAGGGGGGCGGCAGGGAAGGCAGAGGAGGGGGGCGGCAGGGAAGGCAGAGGAGGGGGGCGGCAGGGAAGGCAGAGGAGGGGGGCGGCAGGGAAGGCAGAGGAGGGGGGCGGCAGGGAAGGCAGAGGAGGGGGGCGGCAGGGAAGGCAGAGGAGGGGGGCGGCAGGGAAGGCAGAGGAGGGGGGCGGCAGGGAAGGCAGAGGAGGGGGGCGGCAGGGAAGGCAGAGGAGGGGGGCGGCAGGGAAGGCAGAGGAGGGGGGCGGCAGGGAAGGCAGAGGAGGGGGGCGGCAGGGAAGGCAGAGGAGGGGGGCGGCAGGGAAGGCAGAGGAGGGGGGCGGCAGGGAAGGCAGAGGAGGGGGGCGGCAGGGAAGGCAGAGGAGGGGGGCGGCAGGGAAGGCAGAGGAGGGGGGCGGCAGGGAAGGCAGAGGAGGGGGGCGGCAGGGAAGGCAGAGGGGGGGGCGGCAGGGAAGGCAGAGGAGGGGGGCGGCAGGGAAGGCAGAGGAGGGGGCGGCAGGGAAGGCAGAGGAGGGGGGCGGCAGGGAAGGCAGAGGAGGGGGGCGGCAGGGAAGGCAGAGGAGGGGGGCGGCAGGAAGGCAGAGGAGGGGGCGGCAGGGAAGGCAGAGGAGGGGGGCGGCAGGGAAGGCAGAGGAGGGGGGCGGCAGGGAAGGCAGAGGAGGGGGGCGGCAGGAAGGCAGAGGAGGGG